GCGCGGTAAGTGAGACTGAAACGACGGAAACTGTTATGGTAGCATCTGTGGACACTGTGGTAAGCATCTCCATTGTTTCAGTGTCTTTCAATTTTGACCATTGCGTGAATCATCAGTGCCGTCGTTATTGCATAGGCTAGAAGGTCATCAGCTGTACCTCGAGGTGTATCGGACATCTAGAGGAGGTTTCATCCAGTCCGAAAGGCCTATGATCCAATGAACTGGACACCAGCTTGCTGTTTTCATACTTTAACCTGTTTTGAGGGCGATGCGTTGATTAACCGAAGGCCTCGGTCGTGAAACCTCAAGAAATTTCACCTTGTGTGGTCTGAGCAACCCGCAATCATTTCACCCGCTAGCAAATTATAGACATTTTTCTTTGTTACTAAGATTGTACCGTAATTTGTTTGGCACAGTTCTGAACTTATTCCTTTGAGCCCTTGGGATACATAATTAGTAAGTATGCAAATTGAGGTTCTTAATCATGAAGTCCATGGTGGGATGCCTTAACTGGGACGAGCTCCAGAAAGGTAGGAAAAGCAAACATTTGTTTGCCGATCATTAGAGTACTTTGTTTTTCTCAATAATTTTTGAGCGAAACGATGATTGATGATCATGAATGCTGTTTTTCTTTGTCTCCGACTCTCCCCTATTCAAGCCCTTGAATAGCTGTTCAGTGAACCTGTTCTCCCTTGGTTCGAATCAAACTGACTTGGAACAGTGCATCCTTCCCCGGTCCCGGGGTCTGTTCTTCTCCGAGCTGCACACAACCTCCCGCGTCAATCTGACCGCTGGTGCGATCGATGCACTTCCGGGGCCTGTTGAGTCGTCCTCCTCGGTTGCTGATCTACCCACCTTAGAACTAGGAGATTATTATACCAAACTGAGTGACGTACGTGTGCGCAAACATTTCCCTGCGCTTTGGCTCGATTTTGTTTCCATAATGGACGTGCAGAATCGGGACATCAACATTAGCGAGTGTAAGTCGTGATTCGGATTTGATCTGCTACGGGCTTTTTTGTTGATGATGATGTTCCTGTTGTTGCAAACCATCATTTCCGTTGAGCAGCAGTTGATGTGATTGCGTGCGAGTGTCCGTGTGCNGATAAGCGTCTTGTCCAGGATTGAATTCATCTGTAGTGAATTCTACAGTTGCTAGGATCTTCTTCCGTTATCCCTTAGGTTTGGTTCGTCGATATTGTAAAGAATCTTGTGAACGCAGTCACGGGCTAAAGTTAAAGCAAGAATAGTTTTGTCCACACGGGTCCAGCACCCAGACTCACTCTAACTGGGGAAGTAATAGAGCAAGTGGATAAGTTTTGT